ACTAGACACTTAAGTGACAATTGTCTGCAACTAGACACTTCACGTCTAGTTCACAGACAATTCCACTTAGCATATTAGCCCATTAACCCATTCTAGTGACCAGACACTTCATATCAGGTTCAAAGACATTTGTCTTTGGCACATTTTCCCATTGCAGTGGCTATTGTCTCTAATCAGACATTACATGTCTAATTCACAGACAACTCCGCGTAGCACATTAGACAACTCCGCGTAGCACATTAGCCTACTCTGATAGCTATTGCCTGTGACCGGACACTTCATGTCTGGTTCACAAACAATATCACTCAACAAATAATCCCTGAAAGGAGGATATGACCAAGTGCCAACCATCAAGATCAAAATCTAATAACAGAGTAAAAAAAACTAAAATCAAGAAATGCATCTAATTATAACTGATAATTACACAAAGGTCAAAGTTTGATTACATAAAGTACATTCATCTAGTCTAACTTTTTCTTTAGGTCGTAGATCAGTGTGAAAACTGAAAGTAATGCATGTGTTATCAACGCATTTGTCTTGTGGATGATGCATCCAAGCTTTCATAACACAGCCACACAGTTCTTAATTCTCTCTGCAAAAGAAAAAAGTTACATAGCTGAGGAGGCATAAATTGAAGAATATTAAGCTAAGTTTGTGTTCCCAAGTTTATGATTGAAACTCACTTGAGAAGTCAAAAACATCAGCCTAGTAGAGCACCATGAAACTCACTTGCAAAGTCCAGAAACTCACATATCAAGGCTATGCCGCTTCAGAAACCTTCTTTCAAACAACACTAGCATAATCTCAACTAGAAAACATAATGTCTCAATTAATTTTTATTAACTAGGAGAATCTAACACAAGCGTCAGCAACATAAAGATGAAATCAGTTTGAAAAGAGATACTCCATAATAGATTATCTAGGTAAGTATAAATAGGTTCTAATCAAAGCAAGCAAAATTAGAAAAGTATTAAAACAAAACACAGACTATATAAACATTCACTCAACGACAATTTAAAAGAAACAGAGAATCCTTTAAGTCTGGATTAAATATACTACGTACTAAATAGTAAAGTACAAAATAAAAACACATTATGAAACCAAGAACTAGTATAAGTCTAGTTTTTTGCAATTTTTTTTATTGTGTGCACAAAGATGTGAGTTAAGACTTGACAAATGCCTTCTTCCACTTCCACTTGACAATATGCTTTATAGGTTATTATGAATTAAAAAAGCATTTTACTAGCTTATTTGCATACAAAAGGTTAAAAACAAGCATACACGAAAATGATAAAATACAAACACACAAGAGTGTTATTAGTCTCAATTAACAGCATTTCTCAATCAAGGTACCTACAGAACCTGGAAGGCAGTGCAATTGCCATCAATTCTTTGAGGGATTGAACCAGTCATCATAATTTTCATTCACATTTTCTTTCATCTTAAAAACCCATAAAAACCTTCCGGATGCCATATGTTGGACTTATTTGGTCGCTTTCAATTTCTGCAAAAATCACTACAAACTCTAATTTAAACTTAAAAACAATAAAAATAGAATCTAAAACTAATAAACAAAGGAAAGAGATAAAAAAGTCTTGCATTTAAACAAATAATTCATTGAGTCATTTTAACAAACATGTTATGAGCATTGAACTATATAGAGTAATTGGACTAAAATTTCAATAGTTAACACCACAATATCTTACAATAGAACAAAATAGTCAATTGTTTAATGCTATAAGATACAAATATATATATACATATATATATATATATATGTATGTATGTATGTATGTATATATATGTAATCGGGAAAGATAAATCTCATAGATGCACAAGAAAAATCCGAATGGATTATTACCTCATTATCAAAAAATAATACTTTTAAGAAAAATGGTCCATCATAGAGAGAACACTACATCACAATATTGTATATGCTAACTAAATGAGAAGATAGAAGGGGAAATGGTGGATAAAAAAGAAAAAAAAAAGTTGAAGAAAACAGGCTGGGGGCGAAGGAGGAGAAGAGGAGTACGATACTTCTTTGGATCTGGAAAAAGAAGTTGGGAAAGAGAGAGGATTGGGTGGAAAGGGGTAAAAAAGAAAAAGGAAAGGTAAAAACAAATTGGGGCATTTATAGGGTGTACAATTTATGTACACTATGTGTACCCTAAGCATAGTCGATAAAATATATGGTTTAAGTAATCATGTATCTATTTGTAGTCAAAAACTAACAAATTCAGATAAATTAATAAAGTGAAAAATAATCATGTCCTCCCCTCCCCTCCAAAATCCTCCAACGATACAGGGGGTTAGGGTGTTAGGATCTGATTCTTAAAACTGCTTCTACTTCTTCAGGTAGTAGAACCAGAAGTTGGAGTGTTTGAGTGAAAGTGCAAAAGTGATTCTGATGCTCTAATTTACTCTTAGAATCAATTTTTTTAGAAACTGGAGGAAACCCGTTTTGAAAACTGATTCTGATTCTGTTTTCGCTTTAAAAAAGAAATATAAGCAGAATCAGTTCCAAATACCCCTTAGTATGATGGATGCATTTGATTTCTGTTTTAACCACATGATTTTAATTATGATAGTATTTATCTTTGGTTGTAATGTCATATTTTGTGAATCTAATTCATTGGTGCGTTTTCAATTCCTATCTCATCTTTATAGGTTTGATTCACTTTTTAAACAATACTTTTATAAAATTTAAAATATTTAATAACTTTAAAGAATTTATATCCCGTGCATCGCACGGGTGAAAATCTAGTAATATGAAACAAACACCATCTTCAAAAAAAGAAATCGAAAACAAAAGAAGTGCACTATATCCGTAACAAGTAACACTATCTTCTTCTTTTAGAATACATATCATTCATGACAGTTTTGCGTTGTAATACACAGGGGCGGACCATAGTACAGACCCAGGGGGGCTGCCGCCCCCCCAACAATTTTTTTTTAATGTATATATATACAAAATTTTTATTTTTACCCCCCCCAACATTTAATTCTCGCCCCTCCAAGAAAAATTTTGAACCCCCCCAAAAAATATTTTCTCCGCCAAAGCATAGCCCACTCGCAGAAACCCAATTGTTTAAGAGCCTAAAAAAATAGAAATTTTACAAGTAATATTATATCAACTCACTCCAAAATTTATTCCCCATTAACTCACCCCAAAATCTAATCCCAGCCCACAGCCCAGACCAAACTAATGAAAAACATGCGCACCTAGAAGAAAGAAACAGAAAGATTGATTATTTTTAAATGATTGTCCTTATGCCTACTATGTTCATTGCTTAGCACATCAATTGCAATTAGCATTGGTTGCTGCTTCTAGAGAGGTGGAATATGTGCACAATTTTTTCATCGATTCAGTCTTTTTTATTAATGTGACTAATTCTTCTTGCAAACGAAGTGATGAATTAAAGGAAGCTCAAGCACTTGAAATTGCAAGAATGTTGGAAATTGGTGAGCTTGAAACAAGCAGAGGACTTAATTAGGTTGGTACATTACAACAAGCTGGGGAAACTCGTTGGAGCTCACATTTCAGTTCTGTTTGCATTTTGATTAGGATGTTTGCTGCAACTTGTTCTGTTTTAGAAGATGTTGAAGAGAATGACAATAACTATTTTACTCGTGGAAATGCGGCTAGAGAACTTAAGAAGATTAAATCTTTTGATTTTGTTTTCTTGTTGCATCTTATTAAAGATATTATGGGCATTACAGATCTTCTATGTCAGCATACAGAAGAAGTGCCAAGACATAGTAAATGCTATGCATTTGGTGTCAAGCACCAAAATGTTGATCCAAAAGTTAAGGGAGGGTGGATGGGATAACTTCTTAGAAATTGTTAAAGAGTTTTGCACAAAGTATGAAATTGAAGTTCCTAATATGAAGTCTCCTTATGCGGTAAAACCGTAAAACGCAAACGCCATGATCAAGAAGGGTTTGATATTGAACGTCACTATCGGGTTGATATGTTTTACGCAGCCATAGATTCATAATTGTTGGAGCTGAATAGCAGATTTGGTGAACAGATAATGGATCTTCTTAGTCTTAGTGGTGCTTTGGATCCTAAGGACTCATATAAGTCTTTTAACATTGATGCTATTTGTTCTTTAGTGGATAAATATTACCCCTTTGATTTTATTGAGCAGGAGAAGGTGAGCTTGAGGTTTCAATTGCAACATTATAAGCTCAATGTTCTAAACCATCCAAAGTTGGCAAATTTTTCTACAATGGGTGAACTTTGTCAAAGATTAGCGGAGACGGAGATGTCAAAAGTGTACTTTCTTAGCTTGTTGATAAATTGATCCGACTTTTGTTGACTCTACCGGTTCTGACAGCAACAACCGAAAAGACTTTTTCCGCAATGAAAATTATAAAAACAAGGCTTCGCAATAAAATGGAGGATGAGTATGTTGCAGACAACCTTATTGTTTATATTGAAAGAGAAATTGCTAAAACTTTTGACTAAAAAGCCGTGATTGAGGAATTTATCTCATTGAAGAAGCGTTGGGTACATTTCTAAGGTACTAACTTTAACTATTTTGTAATAATATATTTGTCTCTTCTTCTATTATAATGCTTCATTTAATTACTACTCCGTATTATATTAAGGTTATAACTTATAATAATAATCGCCTAGATTTTTTTTGTTTAAATTATCGCCCCCAATATCAATTTTCTGGGTCCGCCCCTGGTAATACATAATACAAAAAAATATAGAATAAATATACTAGAATTAAGAGAGTTAGCAAAGAGACTTATTTATATCCATCCACATAGAATGTTTCTAAAATTCCAGTAGACTTAGCGCTGCAAAACTCACTTTCAACAGTGACCAACTGACCATTAAGCTCTGCATTAACTTGTTTGGGGTTTCAGGATTAAGAGGCAAAGGCATCTTAGTAGTTTTAAACATTAACAACCTTCTCAAGTATAGCTTGTTAACTAAATAGATACGAAACAAAAAGGTTTTAATCATAAAAGATAAATCTCACTGCCGCAAAAGGTATACTTTAATACTACTAAGCTAACGACGACCAGTATCCATGCCGAAACATTCCCATCAGGTTATTAAAATACACAAAACTTAGCAAAAACTAACATAGAGAACACATAAAAAGAAATGATGCAGTAGAAATTTCAGAAAACAGACCACAAATATTGAAATAACATGAAATGATACCCTTATCAGCTTTTCAATATGGAGGGAGGGCATATACACTGGCCTGTTAACCACCAAGTGATCTCAGGAACTTAGCCTTGTGCACTGCGACCACAACATAAGTCCAATTAGCAAAGTTTTCAAGGACTTCGAAAAATGCAAACCTACAAGACCTGTTGAATAGCATTGTCCCAAGAACTCCCAAAAATCCAACCACATATCCGACCCCTATGTATGCATAAATATCACCGCCAATAAGCTTATTCTCTTCTTCTATACTAGAAGCTCCTTCTTCTTCACTGAATTGATGAGGAGAAGGATGAGTTGATTCTTCTCCTGAACAGCTAGGGAGTGGATCTCCACATAGCGCTGGATTCCCCATGTATGCACTTGCATCAAAGCTCTGAAGTTGTGTGCCTTTCGGAATTTTTTCAGATAAGTTATTATTGGACAATTTGAGATCCCCTATGTCGTGAATCAGGGCAATGCTTTGAGGAATGCTACCAGACAAATGGTTAGTAGACAAATCAAGAGAATTCAATTGTGCCAAGTTACCAATCCTGGGAGGAATCTGTCCTGTTAGATTGTTTCGTGATAAGTTCAACGAGACCAACTCAACAAGAGATGTGATCTCAGTTGGAATCTCACCACTCAACATGTTGGATGATAGATCAATGCTATGTACATATCCTAATGTACTTCCAAATTCAGAGACCATACCTTTCCATATAACCTCTATTTTGTCATCTTCTGTAGCGTCTGTATACCATGTTACATTTGAAGTGGTGGTGTGGTTGAATGATAACATATAAGAAATGGTGGGAATGCCATTTGTTACATTCATCATTTGAGTAAGATTAGAAACACATTTGGGAATAGTCCCTGAGAGGTGATTCAGGGACAAGTCTAACAGCTGAAGAGACTGGAGCCGGCACAGAGTGGTGGGTACACTTGCATTGAAGTTGTTGGATGTTAGCACAAGTATCGAAAGTTGTGTTATACTTTCACCCAACCAATCTGGTATTGGTCCAAACAAGTTGTTGTGTCCGAGATGTAAAGATATTAAGCGGGAGCAGTTTTTGATGGATGAAGGTAGAGCACCTGTAAATTTGTTATGGTCAAGATGCAATAGCTCCAGGGAAGCCAATGACCCAATGGAAGTTGGAAGAGTCCCTGATAGATTGTGATTGCTTCCCAGGTTCAGAACTTGCAGGGAAGAGAATCTTGACCAGCAATTCGGAAGTGTTCCAGAAAGGTGATTGGATGAGATATCCAAAAGCTGTAAAGGAGAAAATACCTTGACATCACATAGGGAGTTGAGGTCGGTGAAGTTATTCCCAGAAAGGTACAATAGCTTCACATTGAAGAAATATGGTGGAATGACACCTTCTAATTGATTGGAATGCATATCTAGCGTCCCACCCTGGATTGAAGCTTGAGCATCAATTCCAATTATTCCCTTGATTCCGTTGTTAGAAACATTAACTTTCATAAAGCTAGTAATTGTATTCCAAAACCAGGTGGGGATTGAATCCGAGATGGCGTTATTGGAAATGTCAAGCACCTTACAGTTGGTTTGAGTTCGAAGCCAACTCGGAAACTCGGGTCCCAACTTACAAGAACTAAGGTGTATCTTTTTCAAGTTGAAAGGAGGGAGCCAAGTGGAGGAGACGTTAAAAGTGAAAGTGTTTGAAGATAGGTCCAGGTAAGTTAGGTAAGAGAGATTAGCAAAGTGAAGTTCAGAAATGGCCCCATCTATGAGGTTATCTGAAAAATATAAGAATTCCAAATAGGGGAAAATCGTGAGATTGGGAAAGAGCCCTCTGAGTCGATTGCCGTTCAAGTATAAGGTCCTCAGAGGGTGATTTGGGCATATTGTGGTAATGAATAGGCTTCCATTAAGACGATTGGAATCCAACATCAGGTGTTGCAAAGTGCATATGTTCCACAAGGATTTGGGGATTCTCCTGCAAGTCTATTCATTCCAAGGTCAAGGTCTTCAAGGACAGGCATATTTCCTAGAGCTTCAGGAATGTGACCTTCCAACTGATTCGCTTGCAGGATGAGAAATGTGAGGGCGCGCAGGTTGTTTCCAAAGTTTTCAGGAATGGTGCCTTGTAACTTATTATGGCTGAGATCAAGGAAATCAAGGGCAGGCATGCCGTTTCCAAAATTTTCAGGAATGGTGCCTTCTAAATTATTTGAACACAGAGAAAGGAATGTAAGGGCGGGCATGCCGTTTCCAAAACTTTCAGGAATGAAACCTTGTAAACCATTATCGCAGAGATCAAGGTATGCAAGGGCGGGCATGGTTTTTCCGAAATTCTCAGGAATGGTGCCAACAATTCCGGTGCCACTAAGACCCAGATGCTCAAGGGAAACCATACTACTACCGTTATAGTTCTTCCCAATCAATGATGAGATGCTTTGGTTTGCCAGCAAGTAGGAGTTTTCCTCAAGTTCCAAATACTTCAAATAGGGCAGCTCAAAGAATGGAAGGCTGGTGCTATACTTCCCATCACCGTCTTTCGCGGACAGAGACATATCAGAAAGATCGATGTGGATGACATGGCCAGTAGCATTATCACACTCGACCCCCTCCCAGCCGCGGCAGCAATCTTCATCACTGTGGTTGCCCCAGGAGCGGAGATTGTCATACGGGTCAAGAATGGTGTGCTTGAACTTGAGGAGCACTTCTCTGTCTGCATCCACGCATTTACCGGCGGCAGCAGTAGCAGCCCCACTCATCGCCGCCACCAGCAAGCAGCAACTGATCACCCCCACTGCCATTGCCGCGGCTTCAGTGGACGACCCTAACAATAATAATCTACCCCCCATTCTCAACTACGCTTTAATTCTTCCAGTTTCTGTAATTTGCTAGCTGATTATATAAGCTATTTAGGTACTTATTTAAACTAGCCAGCTTCCTCCCACTTTTTCTCGTGTTCGTGTGTGAAGTGCAGAAGTATGACCACTTTTTGGTCATCAAATCACATTTGTGTAATGTGTGTATGTGGGTCTCATCTGTATGTACTATGTACGCGTGCATTTCCGTGGGCGGAGCATGTACGAGGTCTTTTTACTTGGTTTCACATCCGCACCGAATTCGATTAAACTACAACCGGCCAAATTTGGGGTATGTGGAAACATAGGGTTTTTCTTCCGGCGGTAGCTCATCGCCTATCTCGCTCGGCGTGTTTTGAAAGCTCTGTTCCATTGGCGGCTCAGATAGCTCTAAGCTCTGCGACCCTGCAAAAAAGGGAAAAGGACACTAAAGTTATTTATGAAGTTGGTATTAGATACTAACCTTTTAAGTAGACCAAATTAATACATAAACAACTTATTTGGATTATATTTGGCCACCCACTCACATTTCCGTTCAACTCAACGTTAAATGCCCAGGCCTCCACCTTCAATCTCCTCGTCGGCTTGGCAACGCCATCCCCAAATTCTTAGCCCCGCTTCTATATATCAGCCCCCGCCGTCAAGAAACCCCTCTTCTTCAATTTGCATCTAAACTCTGCTCCGCAGAGCCCTCCAAGTGGTCTCAATCACCTTCTCCACCCATGTCTCCTAAAAATCTCTGCTTGCGGATCCCAATAGTGAAACTACATCGACATCTGATCTAGTAATTGGAAGAAGCTATGATTTACTATCGAAATTAATTATTAGGGCTTCACTTCACTGAGAAATGTCCAATCTCTTTTTTTAGTTCTTATAGAAAAACCAATTTGTTATACTATTACGAAGTGTCATATAGAACCAGGTTTCATTTTCGTTCTTCTACTAAGCAAAATTCAGTCCAACAAATTGTTATTTCAAAACCACGATTGACATTTGTTTGAATTAATTAAAAAATCAGAAGGAATGGGACATCAGGGTCCTCGCATGTCGCTTTGCAAGTGGTGAGTATTACAAGTGGCGGGAGTCAAAATAAGATTTTGGGCTATATTTGGTGGAGGAGGTATATTTGCTGGGTTTGGGTTTTCAAAGGAGTGGGTGGCTATGGCGGTGAGAAGAAAGGGGTATAGCGACAGAGAAGAAACGGGACGGAGCTGGTACTAACCTTATAATTGACGGAGGGAAGCCGTTAATTCAAGGTTGACGTTAGCGGTGTCCAAATGTGATGCAAAAACTTAAAGTTTGTGTTAATTTGGTCTACACAGAAGCTTAATGTCCAATATGAGTTTAGTAAATAACCTTGATGTCAATTTTGGCCCTTCTCCCCTGCAAAAAATTAGGTCCTGTTAGGTGTGGTGTGGTTTAAAAAAAAAATAGAATTGTGTGGTTGATATTGAATTGATAAGTGTGAATAAAGTAAGAATGAATTTTAACCACTTAAATTTTCATTATATGCTAGGGGACAAACTTAATCGGACGGACGAAAAAGGTAAAACGGGACAAAGTTAGTGGGACAGAGGGAGTAATTTTTTTTTTATATAATTGATTGGAACCGAACTATTCTTAAAATGTTAAAGGTTTGATTCTTGTCCTTTAATGGTTCCTTGGTTTTAAAAAATTTCGTTTGTGCCAAAAAATATTCAACGTTTGAAATTATAAAAAATAAAAATATGTTTACCATCATTTCAAATCTCAAAAATTGAGTTTAAAACATAAATACATACCAAACTGAAAATTTTAGTAAATAACACCAACAACATATTCACTACAATCAATAATTATGACATTGAATCAACAACATAATTAGCCAACAAAAAATTCATTCATCTCAAAGGGTAACAGGCAAAGCATTTAGGTGCTGTTCTGTTGTACTATTTGCGAAGTGTCTAAAAGCTTCTGGTTGTATGTTTATCTTGGCAATTTTTAAGAACTTTTTTCAAAATGAAAAATCTGGTTTGAGAAGTTACATTGATTAACATTTGAGAAAAGTATATAGTTTTAACATTAATTAGTGAGCAAAGCTTGTACACCCACCAAACATAACTAAATCAAACAGACAACTTTTTATCCACACCTTTTTCTGTTAAAATCTTTCCCCTGTGTCCCTTTTTCATTCGCAAAAATATAACGCGTTGATCAAAGTTACCGTCATGGACTACAAAAGTTACCGTCATCCTTTATAATGATGGCTAATTATAAAGGACAGAGATAGTACTACGTATATTACTACTCCGTATAACATTTTAAGTATTTTCTTCTTCGTTTTTGTAAGTTACTTTTTGTTACTCCGTAATAAACTTTACCGTCTTTACGTAGTAATATATTGCACTCTATAGGATATTCGTATGTAAATAGGAGTCACAACATCTAAGTTTGGTTATGCTTGAAATATATGTATTCAAACATATGAGAAGCAGTATATATAATTAATATGAAGCTCCGATCCACAGATTTCACTCTCCACTCATTATCTGCACACCCCAAACACATTTGACGAATATGATAGTGAAAGTCAAAGTGTGGGAATTGGACGATCTAAAGTTTGTGAAAAGAAAATTGAGAAGAGAAAATGTAAAGAAAGAAACGGAGAGATGGAACATAACTATTCAGTAAAAAGATTCAAACAAGATGACGAGATGAAGAAGTTTAAAATGAAATGGGATGCGCTTGGAAAGAATTATGTTAAGTCACTAATCATGAAGACAGATTTTGAAATCATTAATGTAGACTTATCAAGGTTTTCCCCAAGGAAGCAAATTTGGTTAAGGCAACAACAGAGTGCTATCTTGAAGTACATTCAAGATTAACTTATTTTGGACTCAAGCTTCCAAAGCTTCTATCTATGGCCCATGAGGCCATGACTGCTCTTCAGTCAATGATAAGAACTTAGTTTTAGGGCCTGTTTGGAATCAGCTGGAACGGCTCGAAGGACTGAAAAGTCTGAAAAGACTGAATTTGCTTAAGTGAAAGTGTTTGGTAATATATTGGCTGGAATGAGTGATTGAATGTAAAATTACGATTAAGGGTATTTGTTTACTTTTTGTTTATGTCGTTCAAAGCACCAGTCCAGACCTTGAACATTTCCCAAACTTAAACATCCACTGGGGATGAAAATCAGAACCAAAGGCATGATTGTGCAAGTATTTAACCCAAGCTTATGTCGTCATCAACAACTAAGATTGTGCAAGAATTTAACCAACCACTAATTCCACATGCTTATACGAAAAACTTAAGGCATGATTAAGCAAAAAACAAGATCAGGATTAGGCATTTGTCAATTACCAAATTCAGTCCAAGGAATCAGGCATCTTGAGCAATGAGCCATATCAAAAGAGCCTGAAGGGAAAGGGTTGTTGGGATAATCCCTAAAATTGCAGGTATTTCACGTTCTAACGCAAACTGAACTTGAGACTGGTGAGAGCATCTTCAATGTTATAATGTCCACGGTGCACATGTGTCATGAGTGATAGCCACATAATTATTAGCAAATAAATTATTTCTCTCCTTATTTGAATGATTTTATATAATTTTAGTAAGTTTTTCCTTGCAATGTCAACAACAATGTCAACATTAGACGGTCTCTTTGACATTGTGGAGAATAACTTACCAAAACTGTATAAAATCATTCAAATAAGGAGAGAAATAATTTATTTACTAATATTTATGTGGTCATCTCTCATGCCACGTGTGCACCGTGCACATTGTACCATTAAAGATGCTCTGAGATTGTCTATTGGTGCAAGTGAAACTGTTAGAATCCCATGATTCAGCAAATTCCATCCCCAGCTTGCAAACTCACCCAGTATCAATGGCAGTCCTAATTGTCCCATTTTAGAAAAAGCATCTAAGCTGGAGTGAGAACTCATCGATGTAGAAGTGGTCTTCATCTTCTGAAGCAGATGTATCACGGTAAGGGCAGAGGAGTATTTTTGATTTTGAACGGTGGATTAATAGATTTCAGCTGAAAAAGTAACCCTATAGTTACTTTTTTGGCTGATAAGAAAAATCAGCCCAAATGACATGTGTTTGGCTCTCTTTATACATTTTAAGGCTTATCAGCCTATTTTCTAGCACCAAACGGCACCTTATTATGTAATTATTATGTACTAGTAATGTTTAAGTTTAAGCTTTCTACTCTTCCTTATGTTATTTAACGTGATGCAATTTATTTCACATTTTCTGTATTATATTAGTTTAATTTTCTTTCAGTTTATTTTAAATTTATTCTTTAATGGTCATGCATTTTATTCTTGTTTGACTTTTTTTATTCTTCGTGAACGATTTTTTTGGATTATACAAATGTGTTTTATGCGATACTTGTATGAGCATAACGTTTAAGAACCCAGAACCCGGACCAAACTGACCCATTTCAAACGGGGTGGGTAAGGTTAGATTCCAATTTCGAGACTTGGTATATCCCGACAGAACCTACCCATTAAATGAAACCGACGGGTCTTATAAATTTATCAATTACCCGGACTAACCAGGACCGTGCTCACCCCTACCAACCACAACATAAGTCCAATTAGCAAAGTCATAAGGACTTTGAAAAATGCAAACCAATACGACCCGTTGAACAGCATTTTCCCAAGAACTTCCAAATTCCAACTGCATATCTGACCCCATGCTCGTATAAACCTCACCCCAAAAAGCTCATCTTCTTCTTCTCTATTATAAGCTCCCCTTCTTCGTCTTCTTCACTGCATCCAAGTAGGGAGAAAGCCCCCCCATTTTACCTAGTCATGGACCCGATTCGGGCCGCCCGGCCCGGCCCGGCCCGCTACTGTGCGGAACCGGAACCGGCCCGGTTCTCGGGTCCGGGTCCGGGTCGGGCCTAGGCCCGGTGGGGGGGGGGGGGGCGGGTCCGGGGTCGGGCCTTGTATTTGGCGAACCGGCCCGGCCGGGTCGGGCCCGGGTCCGGGCCGAATTGAATTTTTTTTATTTTTTTTTCATTTTTTGGGGTTACCCG